GTCAAATTTCTCGAATACGGACCATTTTAGGAAAATTTTGTAAATAACAAAAATTATAGATAATAAAATAAGAAGTAACTTTTATTTAAAAAATTTTCTTCCCCAAACGTAAATAACAGATATATTCCATAAAATATAAAAATGAATACCTATAAAGTACCCCCCCAGATGTTCCGACTCTGCCCAAAATCTAATCAGCTCATTAGACGCTGGAATAAAGCTTAAGTTTGAAATTTGGTGTTTTTCCGTGTATCGGTTCATGAGTTATGCGTTATACAGACACACACACACACACACACACACACAGACACACAGACACACAGACACACACACACACACACACACACACACACACACAGACATCATCGCGAAAATAGTCAAAACGGATTCAGGGGACCTCAAAACGTAAAAATCCGTCGAAAACTCGAGGTCGAAAAAAATCATGATTCCTATACTTTCCTTATATCTGTATACAGATAGGAAAGTAAAAAGATGCCGCTTTTTTGAAACCATTTTAAATTTTTATACGTAGGTAGGCTTAAGCAACAATGGGTGCAAATATTTTTATATGAACAGATCTAAGGTAGTAAAGGTATCATATAATTTTACATGGACATATTTAAAAGAGACCCAATATTTTTAGATAAATAGGCGAAGTAAGGAGTCCAAATATTTTACATCAGTAGGCTTAAGAGGTAAAGGGGCCAATTATTATTGGATAATTTGCTCGAACAAGTTTGTAAAGCGTAATCAAAAGGCGATATTAGAATGGTTTTAAAAACCAAGGCTTATTAAAATCATCATATGGTTTGACCTATGTAATGCCAATGCTTCACAAATCAGAAAATTCAACAAGAGAATACAGTAAGCTATGACATCATCACGTTTGATTTCGGAACTTCCCTCCTCCTACCACTTCATGATTTAGTTTGTTGGCGTCCATATCTTTGGTTTCAGTTTACAAGATCTAATGTGGCAACGTATAATTTCTCGCTCAGAGCTTGAAAAAATAAGTTTGTTTTACCGATTTTTAAATTACGCACGCCAATATCATAAAAATTTCGAATCAATTCAAAAAAAGTGTTCTTGAATTATTTTAGTTACATCTGTAATGATGATAACGCTGTTTAAATCATAATTGTATCGTTAAGATAGATAATTAAAAAAAGTTACTTGATGTCATGAGATTCCAAGCGGTCCTCGACAAGGCGAGACAATAGAAAGATCGATAAGCTCTATAGACCAAGAAGTTCAGAATGGTGAAAGTGAAATTTAAATAATGTATTTGTCAGGCTAATCGAATGAATGTTACAACTATACACAACAATAGTACTTTGTGCAACAAAACTGGATATGGACAATCCACTTGAGTTGTACAGTATATTTTTTCTACGTCCCACTAACGAAAATCTACAAATATTAAAAATTATTTTAGGCTATTAAGACAAAATAACTAATTTAAATATAATTTAAGACTTTTACTAATTTATAAAATAAACAAGAAAAAAGAAAAATGATTTAATTTAGTTTGTCCCCATCCGAGATTTGAACGCGGGCCTTCCGTATAAAAGACAAGTGCACTGACCTCACCATGATCTATGCGTTTAACATTTTTGCTTTAATACTCGTAATTAAATTGACGTCATATAGTTTTATTTAAATTAACAAATTATTTATAATTAGAGATAAAATAAAAATAGAAATGCTCTTATTTATCGATTCTACACAAAAATTATTCATTTTAATGTACACTTAATCTCAATAACTATATATTCAAATATATAAAAATATACTGACAATTAGTTCAACAGAATTGTCAATTATTTAAAATTTTAAAAATACTAGCGGTCGGTTGACCAAAATATGAACTATAATTGGTGGATTTTATTTTTTTGCATTGTTCTCACTGCCTAGAATGGATATAAAATATATTCGTTCAGTTGAACGCAATAGCATACTTTTTCGTTTAGTAGCCTGTGCGTAGATAAGCTAGTATCCATGTGGGTGTAGAAAAATGTATTTTTCCTCAGTAACAAAGGGCTATTATATAAGTTGTACTTGGGTAGACTTATTGGAATATTAGGGACATCATTAAAATCAAATTAACATTTTATTAAAACATAGTTTTATTAAAAATAATTTTCTTATTTCAAGTTCCTTGCGTATTCTGGAATCTAATTTTTCTGAAAGATTACATTAAAAATAAAATATTTCCAATTTCAAATAGCTACCATCTCACTAATATGCTTTCCTGATAAGTACGCTAATCAACTACATGGTTTCCTTCTACCACATTATGCTTTATGGCTAAGTTAAAAGTCCCATGCGTCCAAAAGATTATCCTTGGACTATACCTATACCTCTGTTAGGCTCAAGTTGCTAAAAACCTTTTAAATAAAAACACTTAGAACACCATTACAGCAGCATTATAATTAACATTGTATGATCTTTTAGACCACAGTAATGGAATACCATTTGCATCAACATCTCCAACACTTTTTGCTATTTCAGCTTCTTCAGCGTTGGTCTCTTTCATTGTTTTAAGCGTAAATAACGTTACAGATTTATTCATGGTATTTTCTTTAACTTTTCCGCCATTGACGGCATATTAATGGCAGCAAATACTTCTTCTAACGTTGAGTAAGCAATGCCTGTGGAAATAGCTCCAAGCGTTATTGCTGAATTAATATTTAAAATATCCAAAGGCAATCATTTCTTGGATCTTCTGTACGCATTTAAAAACAATAATATTTGTTAACGTCAATGACGATTAAAAATAAATATTTAGCATTATATTTCTATTTATATAACCAGTTACGAAATACCCTATTTTGTTTAAAGAGTAAATATTTGCGGGAGGAGCGGAGCGAGGTACCGTAAACTGAACGAGTTACACAAAACGGCATTTCGAAACGTGATACATGCAAGATTTTTTCTAATTTTGACTTGATTATTTATAAAATTGTGATTGGTTAAAAATGATTTACCTTCATTCTTTTGTAGGTACTTCCCAATCAAATATTTTAGTAAATGGTTGTATTTGATTGCCCTACAAATAAGGGACATTTGCAATGTTGCCGATCTGATTTTTGACAATACCCGCGGGAAATTTAAACCCATTCACAGCTTCTATTTTTTTTGTCAATAATCGTAATGTCAAAATGTTCAAATGTAATTTTTTTAAATTTTCGATTTTTCGTTTGCTCGATTTTTCGATTTTTGGATTTTTGGATTTTTTGATTTTTCGATTTTTGATTTTTCGATTTTTCGTTTGCTCGATTTTTCGATTTTTAGATTTTTGGATTTTTGGATTTTTGGATTTTTTGATTTTTCGATTTTTCGATTTTTCGATTTTTCGATTTTTCGATTTTTCGATTTTTCGATTTTTCGATTTTTCGATTTTTCGATTTTTCGATTTTTCGATTTTTCGATTTTTCGATTTTTCGATTTTTTTATTTTTTGATTTTTCGATTTTTCGATTTTTCGATTTTTCGATTTTTCGATTTTTCGATTTTTTCGATTTTTCGATTTTTCGATTTTTCGATTTTTCGATTTTTCGATTTTTCGATTTTTCGATTTTTCGATTTTTCGATTTTTCGATTTTTCGATTTTTCGATTTTTCGATTTTTCGATTTTTCGATTTTTGGCATATCAAATACACGTAAACATTTTACTTTTTTTTTTTTTTAAGTAGGTAAAAACAATACAATAAGCAACCGGAGTTACTGTGTTAAAATTGTAAAAATACTAGCAAAGAAAAAACAGTGAAAATTACAAAAATTTTCAGTAGCAAAGTGGAAATTGAATCAAATAAATAAATGGATAGGCTAATAAGAAGAAAAATTACCTTTATTTTTGTAATAATAACAGTAATATTGGAAATCGTAGACATCAGAAACTTCAAAGGTTTAAAATAAACAATAAATTATCATTTTAGATTTCAAGATTTCTACCTTTCATGATTGTATGTGGTGGAATGCAATTTTGTGACTTACTTATAGAAAACCAGTTTAAATCATTCATTCTGTTTTCTTTCGAACAAAAATTAAAATATAAATAACAATCCTTTTGTTTATACATTTTAACTTCACGTGCTTCACACTATTATGTAAAGGTATTTTTTTATTTTGACATTCTTCAAAGACAATTTATTAGACTTCTCATACATTTTCCCCTAAATACTGTTGCCTGCCTATATTTTATTATTGAATTTTATTGATTATACTATTTTTTTTTTAATTTAAGCGGTAAAAATATATATTAATAATAAATTAATGTTTACTTTTGTTTTACAAATCCATATACTTTTAGTAAAACTAACATATATACTTTTTATTTACGAATTCTATTAAAAATTGTATTTGTCAGTATACACTGAAATAGTCCGTTAGTACGTAAAATGAATTGGCGCTGCTGTCACGCACGGAGCGAATAGCAAATTAAAATTTTAACTTTAATTTTTTCGGCCCATCCTACGAGTGTGTGTTTTGTGTTTTTAATATTAGTTATGATGATATAGTGATTTCTGATGTCTTACAAAAATGAGGTCACTTTGTAAAGAACGGTTTGCAGCCAATCTGGTCCAACCTACCAGGTTAATTCCCTGTTTTCTATGTCTAAGTGTATTAAGTTCCGACTTGTTAGCCTTTCAGATCCGATATATAAAAGATTGACCTCAGTATATCTTGGATTTTGGATTGTTCAACTGATTTATACTCATAGGTCACACATATTAAGATGAATTATCTCCTGCCTTTCAAACTCGATAATCTTAATAACTATTGTTACTCCTGAAAGAGGGAGGATATTTACAGGTTTAAGGATGTCGATATTAATTAAGTCCTAGATTAAGATTTTCTTTGCCATTTTTGTTAATTACGTTTTATGCCTGAATATTTGACCGAAACCAGTTGCCCTTGAAATTTTAATATTGTAGTTACGACTTTGAATTTTCTTTTCCTTATTTCTTATTCATTTTAATAATTATCACTTTTTTTCAGATTATAAAAGAATCAAATGACATAGAACAATTGATAAATGACACAATAAACGAAGAACAAACAAAAGAACCATTAAGACTACCAAAAACACTCGATCCTTATCATTACCGACTGTGGGTTCATCCAATTTTGGACGATGATAGTGAGCAAAATTTTACCTTTACAGGCCGTGTCATAATACAGGTCAACTGTACAGAAGATACGAATAAAATTATTTTGCATTACGACGATTTGAGTATTTCTGAGTCTGATATTCAAATTTATATCATAAATCAGGTAAGAGTACACGTAGAATACATTATTTAGAATGTTAAATAAGAATGGACATATGATAGACCCTTGAGGGACTCCTCATGATACTTGAAATGAAGTTAATTCTGAAGAGTCACATTCTTATTATTATACTCTTCACTAGGGTGGTTATAACTCGAGGTGCGGCCACCTCCTCGTGGTGAGTTTTGGGTTGATTTAATATTCAACTAAAAATGAATAAATATTTAATTACATATTTTCATATTGTGAATATTGAATTAAGCGAAGAGCTGCACAAAATAGAATTTTTTAGTAATATTTTTTTTTCAAACAGGAGCGGGGCTAGACGAAATATTAAAATATTTTAATCATATTTTATATAAACCTTATTAAGGCAGTAAATAGTCATTTAGACACTAGCCTTGGTAAATTTTAGGATTGTTTTTGAGCCCCAAGGGACCCGGCTAGAATATTTTAAAAAAATTTCATATTTGAAATAAAACATAGTCAACCAGTCACAACTTTTCCATAATAGCCCAACTTAAATTTCGAAAAATATTTTTTTTTCTAATTTTTGGCCCACCCTTCTCTTCACGCAGTAGTCTATGAAGAGTATTATGCATTCGTTTCATCCGTCCGTCCATCCGTCCGTCCATCCGTCCGTCCGTCCATCCGTCCGTCCATCCGTCCGTCCATCCGTCCATCCGTCCTCCGTCCATCCGTCCTCCGTCCATCCGTCCTTCGTCCATCCGTACATCCGTCCATCCGTCCATCCGTCCATCCGTCCATCCGTCCATCCGTCCATCCGTCCATCCGTCCATCCGTCCATCCGTCCATCCGTCCATCCGTCCATCCGTCCATCCGTCCATCCGTCCATCCGTCCATCCGTCCATCCGTCCATCCGTCCATCCGTCCATCCGTCCATCCGTCCATCCGTCCATCCGTCCATCCGTCCATCCGTCCATCCGTCCATCCGTCCATCCGTCCTCCGTCCATCCGTCCTTCGTCCATCCGTACATCCGTCCATCCGTCCATCCGTCCATCCGTCCATCCGTCCATCCGTCCATCCGTCCATCCGTCCATCCGTCCATCCGTCCATCCGTCCATCCGTCCATCCGTCCATCCGTCCATCCGTCCATCCGTCCATCCGTCCATCCGTCCATCCGTCCATCCGTCCATCCGTCCATCCGTCCATCCGTCCATCCGTCCATCCGTCCATCCGTCCATCCGTCCATCCGTCCATCCGTCCATCCGTCCATCCGTCCATCCGTCCATCCGTCCATCCGTCCATCCGTCCATCCGTCCATCCGTCCATCCGTCCATCCGTCCATCCGTCCATCCGTCCATCCGTCCATCCGTCCATCCGTCCTCCGTCCATCCGTCCTTCGTCCATCCGTACATCCGTCCATCCGTCCATCCGTCCATCCGTCCATCCGTCCATCCGTCCTCCGTCCATCCGTCCTCCGTCCATCCGTCCTTCGTCCATCCGTACATCCGTCCATCCGTCCATCCGTCCATCCGTCCATCCGTCCATCCGTCCATCCGTCCATCCGTCCATCCGTCCATCCGTCCATCCGTCCATCCGTCCATCCGTCCATCCGTCCATCCGTCCATCCGTCCATCCGTCCATCCGTCCATCCGTCCATCCGTCCATCCGTCCATCCGTCCATCCGTCCATCCGTCCATCCGTCCATCCGTCCATCCGTCCATCCGTCCATCCGTCCATCCGTCCATCCGTCCATCCGTCCATCCGTCCATCCGTCCATCCGTCCATCCGTCCATCCGTCCATCCGTCCATCCGTCCATCCGTCCATCCGTCCATCCGTCCATCCGTCCATCCGTCCATCCGTCCATCCGTCCATCCGTCCATCCGTCCATCCGTCCATCCGTCCATCCGTCCATCCGTCCATCCGTCCATCCGTCCATCCGTCCATCCGTCCATCCGTCCATCCGTCCATCCGTCCATCCGTCCATCCGTCCATCCGTCCATCCGTCCATCCGTCCATCCGTCCATCCGTCCATCCGTCCATCCGTCCATCCGTCCATCCGTCCATCCGTCCATCCGTCCATCCGTCCATCCGTCCATCCGTCCATCCGTCCATCCGTCCATCCGTCCATCCGTCCATCCGTCCATCCGTCCATCCGTCCATCCGTCCATCCGTCCATCCGTCCATCCGTCCATCCGTCCATCCGTCCATCCGTCCATCCGTCCATCCGTCCATCCGTCCATCCGTCCATCCGTCCATCCGTCCATCCGTCCATCCGTCCATCCGTCCATCCGTCCATCCGTCCATCCGTCCATCCGTCCATCCGTCCATCCGTCCATCCGTCCATCCGTCCATCCGTCCATCCGTCCATCCGTCCATCCGTCCATCCGTCCATCCGTCCATCCGTCCATCCGTCCATCCGTCCATCCGTCCATCCGTCCATTCGTCCATCCGTCCATCCGTCCATCCGTCCATCCGTCCATCCGTCCGTCCATCCGTCCGTCAGTCCGTTCGATGTCACGTTTTTTGTACGCATGATAAGTTAAAAATGGGGGGTCAAGGGGGATTGAAACATTAAAAAAATTCCTAACTCAAAAACGAAAAATGATGTCATTTTGGAATTTTTAGTAAAAATAAAGCTCTTTTATAGAGCTTTATTTTTGCTAAAAATAAGAAGCCCTCTGATTTAAAAAATCTTAATAAAAATGTGTGGGTTAAGGGGACTGAAATTAAAAAAAAAAAAATCAAAAACGAAAAGTGATATCAACATAAAATTTTTAGTAACAAGCTCTATAAGAGGATGAAGCCTATTGATTCTGAAAAAATCTAAATTAAAATAGGGGGTTGAGAGGTATTGAAATATTGAAAAAAATCCTAACTCAGAAACAAAAACGATAATAAATTGAAATCTTTAAGAAAAATCAAGGTTTATAAGAGGATGAAGCCCTATAATTTTGAAACAAATCTGATTAAAAATGTGGGGGTAAGGGAGGGTTGAAATAAAAAAAATCATAAATCGAAAACGAAAAGCGATATCAAAATGAAATTTTTAATTAAAGTCAGGCTCGATAAGAGGAAGATGCCCTTTGGTTTTGAAAAAAATTATAAAACTTTGGGGGTTAAGGAGGATTGAAATTAAAAAAAAATAATAAATCAAAAAACGGAAAGCGATATAAACTTGAAATTTTTAGTAAAAATCAAACTCTATAAGGAGACAAAGTTTATTAATTTAAAAAATTTTGTAAACAAAATGGGTGGTTAAGGGGGTTTAAATAAAAAAGAATAAAAATCAAACATCAAAAGCGATATCAAAATGAAATTTTGTTATTATTTAAAATGATAGCTTTTAATTACGTGTTTATTTAATCAATCTTAATGAAGCAAAGCGGTTTATTATTTTACCTTGGTTTGCATTAGGCATCTTTTAAATGTGCAAAGCGTACAATAGCTTGTAAGATAATTAAAATAATGTTTACTATCTGTCTAGATTATTGAAATTCTTTCTCAGGGCTACCTTCAAGTAAGAAAAACATATGTTTCTTGTTTAGATAGTAATTAAAAATATTATAACCTGTCTACATTATTCGTATTATTATATTTTTCACAATAACAGGAGCTGAAAAATTGACTTATCTTTTTATCGCATAATGAATCATCTTGAATTTTTAGCTGGAAGTAGAGTCTCAAGCTTTAAAAATCGAATCGCCAGCAGAATCACACAATATATCACGTAGAGATATCCCTGAAGAGAACCAAACAGTCGAACAAATCCAAGAAGGTGATAATCCAACAACACAACCATCCTTAACTGAAACTCCAAGAGAAGATACCAGCAACGCGATTACCGATGAACCACCTCCAGAAATAGAAATCGTCACTGACAAAGTCATTTTCAAGACGGAAAAGATCATACTTAGAGTCGTTATGGTGGAAAAATCCGACGAAAATTTTAAAATTAAGATCTCTTTAGCTGATGTTTTGGAACGAGGGAAAAGTTATGTGATCGATATTAAGTTTTCTGGGAAAATTTTAGAAAATTTGATTGGCTTGTATAAGACTAGTTACGTTGATTTATCTGGAAACACAAAGTAAGTAATCCTAAATTAAAACATTAACACATTGTATATGGTGAAACAGTGGACAAAATGTATATGCCAATGAAACAAATCCACTTATCATCGTTTACATTCCTTTTATCTCATTTGTTTTATTCTAGGTGGTTAGCAACTACTCACTTGCAGCCTCTGTACGCAAGAAGGATATTTCCCTGCTTTGATGAGCCATACTTTAAAGCACCTTTTGAAATCAGTGTTGCCAGAAGGACAAATATGACTGTATTATCCAATATGCCATTAAAAAGTACAGAACCTATGTAAGTTAAATGAATATTTATATTTTTGTTATTTTTTTTACAAAATGTTTAATAGCTATTTTTGAGATGCAACAATGGGTTTCATAATTGATTACCTCCCTAGAAGTCAGATACTCTTTTGGAATAAATTTAGGACCAAAAACCACACCATGCTAAAAATTGATAATAAGAAATGATCCACCAAAAATGTTTCTAAAGTAGGCCTCGAAGAAATGCACATATGTAGAGCGAACAATTCTTCTTTTTAATTTTCATTTTTGGTTTAATTCAGAGCCACTCGAAGTTATCACGGACGTAGTTATCATGGACATAAAAATGTTTATTAAGTAATTTAGGCGTATCGTGTAGGACGCTACGATTTTTGTGAGATTTGAGTGAGATAACTCAACGTGAAGTGCTCAATCTGACTCACAACTGATCTCTACTCTTTTGTCAAGATGAAGAGTGAAATGAGCAGATTAATATTTAGATCATAACTCTGCGTTTTGGCCTGCAGGCCATATCGGAGTGTGTAGAACCTCCATAAGTCTTGGAAAAATTCAGCTTTAAAATTCTCTTGTTAAATGTCATTTTGGATTTAATTTAGTTGAGAGCCTTGTATAGTTATCACCAACATGACTCGTATCTCTGTATTTGTCAATTATGGCCTACTTTAGAAACATTTTTTGTTGATCACTTTTTATAATATGGTGAAACCACAAATGGTGTACATAGCTTTGGTGTAATGAGACTAAATAAGAGGCAATGAGACCAGCCCCAACAGTAACCATTGAAGGCCACTAATCGTATTTCCAACAATTTTCTATGTAATACATTAGGAGATAAGATTAACTGTTTGTAACCTTTTTTGGTGAAATACAAATCGATAAAAATCAATAATACCGACTTGCAATATAAATACACAAACCAAAATTACAATTTTTGTACTATTAATTAATCTAAATAATAAAGAAAACCGAATATAAACTTGAATGAAGATATATAGTGCTTGACATTCTATATGATACTCTTCACAGTTAAACAAACCCCCTTTTAACCCTCAATTTTTAATTAGATTTTTCAGAATAGGTTTCATCCCCTTATAGGGCTTGATTTTTACTACAAATTTTATGTTGATATCTTATTTCGTTATTGATTTATGATTTTTTTTTTAATTTTAACCCTCCTTAACTCTCCTATTTTTAATCAATTTTTTTTTAAATCAATAGGCTTCGTCCCATTGTAGAGCTGGATTTTCCTGAAAATTTCAAGTTGATATTATTTTTCGCTTTTGTTTTAATATTTTTTTAAGTTTCAATCCCCCAACTCCTCCATTTTTAATCAGATTTTTTTTAAAATCTCACATGTACATAGAATACGTCTTGAAAATTAGATCACTTTCAGTTTTGTGCTCTTTTGGTTTGATTTATTTTAAAAGGTAATTGAAAATATAAAGACAATTTTCTTATAGATGAGGATGCATAACAAATTATGGCTCCCTTTTTTAGAGCTCCAGTCCCCTAAGTCTATTTATTTTCGATCTTTTTAAAATGTTGGTAGGTACAGAGGTACTTTCCTAAAACTGGCCGAAATTTGAAACTGATTACAGTTTTACAGACAATCTCCAGTAAAAAATCTGCATGCAGAATAACAGTAGCAAAGGTTCACAAAGCTGACGAAAGAGATGAATAAACCTTTATCTAGCTAGTTTAGTATTTCAGGACAATAGTGTTAACAGCAGACCACAACAAGAACAACCAAAGTTTAGTAATCAAGCAAAATATTGCAGTATCTCCAGAATTATAAACGTATGAAAACTATAATAGGAGACATGTATGGCTTTGAATGGGAAATTACCCAAATTAACATGTCTAGTGAATATTACATTTAAAAATATATTGTTAATCAAAACTTTTGTGCTTCTACTTTAATATTAACCATATAGAAATGCATATGCATTTTATATTATTAGGCAAAATTCGGATCAAATGTACCCAAAATTTATAAACATTATTAAACTAAAATAAACCATTTTAAATAACGCCTGTTTTGTATTTAAATAAAACACGTTAAATATATGTTTTTATTAAATACATAAATTAGTCTCAACCACACATTTTTTTTTTACTTCTAGTGTAGAAGTGACTACTAATTTACCGTCTTTCAGGTTTATTATTTAAGACCAGCTACTACAAAATATCCTTTTGATGATAAATTATTTCTCTTTAATAATGGTTTTGCATTTATTAACATTTTACAGCACTTTGTTTATATGATACATCTATCTAGCTCTTAATTAAGTCACATTTTCAACATTTAAATCAAGTAATTACATTTTCATATTCAACTTATGTACTCTTAATATTCTTATTAGAACTTAGTCACATTTGAATTTTTGTCTCTGGTAACTGAGCCCATTTGCCAAACCACAAACTTAGTCACTTGAAAGAGAAGGGCGTAAAAGTAAATTCCTTCTTCTATAATGTTGTCCATGCAATTTTAGTTTGTAAACGTTTTGTCCAACACCTTTTTCACAATTTATCCGAAGCAACACTATGAAAGATTTAAATCCTGGATTTACAGCTTACGCCTTACAGCATTCAGTTTTGAGATGAGTGCAGTCACAATGCAGTTTCATAGATAATTGTCACATGAACACTCAATAAAATAAAGTGGAAATAAATTGCAGGACAAACGATAACCGTGGATTTCGCGAAACAAACATCAGAAAAGTGTTACCAACTTAAGGTGACTACTATTTCCCCCCTAGCCTCAGTCACCTTCTCATCCATTTACTGGATCTATGTCGCGATCCCCTTAGATATACCAGCCCTGCTGGTCAGTGGATGTTAATATCACGCTCGCATCGTAGATAGGCGTGAATATCACGCTCGCATCGTAGATAGCCATGAATTTCATGATTGACAGTTTTTACTCGACGTATTATTATTTAGTTTGAATTTGCCTGAATAAAGATAAGTGACGTTTGTTGAGTTGAACTTAAATTCAAAAACGGTGAGTATAATGATTCTGACATGGATTTGAACTGACAAATTATGCAAATGATTTAAGTAAAAACTTGCCAACATAAGTTAGATTAAATTTTTCATTTTGTTGAAAGTTTCGTTTTACTATATTCAACTCCCACTGTGTATGTGGCCGTGGAGAAAGCACAGTATGTTACTCTGTTGGAATGAAAATCCGCAACACGTATTGATCGATTTTTAAAATTTTGGAAGGGGACCAAAGTTGATATAGGTTTCCTACTTATATTTGAAAGAAATACAAAATAGTTTTTAGAATATTCTAGAAGTTTTTTATTATTTTAAAGACTAAAAATCTGATGTGTCCAATACATGACTTTCCTATTTAGTTATTATAGGCTTTTTCGGTTATTTTGTACAACCTATTGCAGCATCTCTATAAATGTTTAGAAAATAAACTTAATATATACATTATCCACATACATCTACCCCGAAAAATGTTTCTATAAATATTCATTGAAAACGAAAATACTGAAAAATTTAAATTTCCTACAATTTTTTCATTACGGTCCATTTTAGAAAAATCGATATCGCAAACAACTTTTAGTTCAACAATTTCTCGAGTACGGACCATTTCAGGAAATTTTGACATAAAGCAGAAATTATAGATACTAATATTAGAAGTAACTTTTATTTGAACAATTTTTTTCTCCAAACATAATTAACAGATATATTCAATAAAATATAAAAACGGCCTCCCATAAAGTACCCCCCCAGATGTTCCGACTTTGTCCAAAATCACGTCAGGCCGAAATAAAACTTAAGTTTAAAATTTAATGTTTTTTTCTTTATCCGTTTTTGAGTTTTCTTCAAAATTCAAAATTTACACATTTTCTCAAATTTCTCGAATACGGTCCATTTTAAAAAAATATATATATATAGGATAAAAATTATAGAGAATTATATTACAAACAACTTTTATTTAAACAATTTTTATAAAAAAATATTTTTTTACATTTTGTCAAAATTTCTCGAATACGGACCATTTTAGGAAAATTTTGTATAAAACAAAAATTATAGATAATAATATAAAAAGTAACTTTTATTTGAAGAATTTTTTTCACACACACACACACACACACACACACACACACACACACACACACACACACACACACACACACACACACACACACACACACACACACACACACACACACACACACACACACACACACACACACACACACACACACACACACACACACACACACACACACACACACACACACACACACACACACACACACACACACACACACACACACACACACACACACACACACACACACACACACACACACACACACACACACACACACACACACACACACACACACACACACACACACACACACACACACACACACACACACACACACACACACACACACACACACACACACACACACACACACACACACACACACACACACACACACACACACACACACACACACACACACACACACACACACACACACACACACACACACACACACACACACACACACACACACACACACACACACACACACACACACACACACACACACACACACACACACACACACACACACACACACACACACACACACACACACACACACACACACACACACACACACACACACACACACACACACACACACACACACACACACACACACACACACACACACACACACACACACACACACACACACACACACACACACACACACACACACACACACACACACACACACACACACACACACACACACACACACACACACACACACACACACACACACACACACACACACACACACACACACACACACACACACACACACACACACACACACACACACACACACACACACACACACACACACACACACACACACACACACACACACACACACACACACACACACACACACACACACACACACACACACACACACACACACACACACACACACACACACA